AGGCGGCTATATTACTTAATATACCCAATATAACTAGGACGACTATACGAGTACCTAAGACGCTTAAAGTATTAAAAAAAAAGATCGAAAAAAAAGATATATTAAAAAGAACATTAGAGTCCTAAATAGCGTTCTAAAATATAAAGAGAGAGCTAAGAGAGGGGAACTTTAAACTATAAGAGGATAATTATTATTATATTAGCGAACTTTTCTTTTACTAAATATTTAAAAAAGTTTTTAAAAATCGTTTATACTACTTATTAACCGAGTACGAAGTAGTCTCTTTTTTAATAAGTAACGCAGTCCTAAAAATTAAAAGATTTATAAATACGCTTATTAAATTAGAATACTTAAAATTAGCTTTTTTAATTAAGTAATAGGGGAGTATTATAAATATATCTACTAAGGCAAAGATAGCTTCTATACAAATCCGGATATACATATAATAATATAAGCTTTAAAAATTATAGGTCGACTTAAAAAATCTTTATTTATAGGGCGGGCCCGAGGTACTACGGTTATAAAGCTTTTTATAAAAAAATAGTTTTATAACTAGCTAGGGGAAGGGTATTAATAGCTACTTAGCGAGCTATTTTATAAAAGAGCTAAGCTTAAAAAAGGAGCAAAGATTTTTAAATACGATTTATTAGTTTACTACGCTAAGGATTCTAGTTAATATACTAAGATTAAGCATTTTAATATTTTTATTAAAGAATATTAACTCGTAATATAAGTAGCTAAAAGCTAAAAAAGAACAGGGAAGTCTCGGTTTACTAAAAAAAAAAAAGATAGAGTTAATTTATAATTTATTAGCAAAGAGGGTACCATTTATATAGGACCTATATAATATAACAAAAATAAGTATAGTAAATAGGATTTTAATAAAAAAGAATCCTAAGCTAACGAAGGCTCTATAATAAATTTAAAAAGGAAAGTCGAAACAGAAAGTAATAGATTTACTATTACTTTTATTTATTAAGGGGATTAAAATAGGAAATATAATTAAAGTTAACTAAGTATTTAATACTTAAATTCTTTTATTTACTAATAGCAAGTAAAAAGTTAGCTCGAGTATTTAATATTTAAATTCTTTTACTCGCTATTAATAAGTAAAAAGTTAGCTCGAGTATTTAATACTTAAATTCTTTTACTCACTATTAGCAAATAAAAAGTTAGCTCGAGCATTTAATACTCAAATTCTTTTACTCACTATTAGCAAATAAAAGGTTAGCTCGAATATTTAATACTCAAATTCTTTTACTCGCTATTAGCGAATAAAAGGTTAGCTCGAGTATTTAATACTTAAATTCTTTTACTCGCTATTAGCAAGTAAAAGGTTAGCTCGAGTATTTAATACTTAAATTCTTTTACTCGCTATTAATAAGTAAAAAGTTAGCTCAAGTATTTAATACTCAAATTCTTTTATTTACTATTAGCAAGTAAAAGGTTAGCTCGAGCATTTAACACTCAAATTCTTTTACTTACTATTAGCAAATAAAAAGTTAGCTCGAGCATTTAATACTCAAATTCTTTTACTTACTATTAGCGAGTAAAAGGTTAGCTCGAGTATTTAATACTTAAATTTTTTTACTCACTATTAGCAAGTAAAAGGTTAGCTCGAGCATTTAATACTTAAATTCTTTTACTTACTATTAGTAAGTAAAAGGTTAGCTCGAGCATTTAATACTCAAATTCTTTTACTTACTATTAGCAAGTAAAAAGTTAGCTCAAGTATTTAATACTTAAATTCTTTTACTTACTATTGGCAAGTAAAAAGTTAGCTCGAGTATTTAATACTTAAATTCTTTTACTCGCTATTAGCAAGTAAAAGGTTAGTAGAGGTAATAGTTATTTAGGGTTTATAAATTTTAAATTGTTCTTTAACTCGCTAATAGTAAGTAAAAAGCTAACTAAGGTAGTAGGCATTTAAGATTTATAAATTCTAAAATTTCTTTTTAAGCCTAACCTTTCGGTACTTAATTAATATAATTAAGTAAAAAAATATAGTTCGTAATCCTAAAAAAGTTCGGTAGAATTAACTCCCCGCGCATTATACCCTCCGACGGCCTTAGGATACCTTTTATTTAATCTATATTAAAAAATAAATTCGAAATACATTAGTAGAAGTAAAAATAGATCTAGGTTCAGAGGATAGAATAGTTCTAAAGAATTAGTAGTATAAAATAAGGATTTAGGCTCTAAAGGCATAGTAGTCTTAATTCGCTATAGTATCTTCTATAGAAAGTAATTACTAGCTAGTGCAAAGTCTATTTAAATCATAAATAGCAAACCTTCTACCTTTATACGTCTCTACTTAAAGAGTTAGTAAAAGTAGTTACCTAGTTACCTTATATCTAATACTTAGTGCGCGTCACTATAAGTCCGAGACTAGTACTAGACTGCACTACTAGGGTAATTACTAGGGATAATGAGCAATTTAGGAGCTGAGACCTTGAAATTAGAATATAATAAAATTAAGACGACGTTATTAAGGAAAAGAGAAGAATTGAAAATGCATCCTGCGATTATACTAAGTCTCGTAGAACCTCCCTTCCCTACTAGGGAAGACGATGTCGTTGACTACTTACTTAATATAAAAAAGAGAAAAATAGAATATTAGTAAGTAGAAGCTAGGGAGCTGGCCCTTTGGTCCTAGCAGTCTAGCCTATTACGTGTCTACTAGGAGCTCAGCCTCACAGCCCGAGGCCGAGCCACATGGGCCCAAAGGGCCCTGACGCCCACTGCCGTGACAATATGATGTAACAGGGTTGAGCCGAGATGGGCAGTCGCACTCGGATGCGGAGACAAAGATGATAACGAGCAAGCTGTGATTATATTTGGCTAATACGATCCAGCAACAAGACATATCGACTTCCTAGTGCGACTATGCAGAGCCTAACGTGCCTAGACAGTCGGACCAATGTCTTTGGCTAGACAGGGAGTGAACAGATCAGCTTGAGAACCGGACTTCTTCAGGGCCCAGCGTCGTCTGTTTGTGGTGGAGTTGCTCCACTTCTTCCTGAACTATCACATGAGTGCCTCTGCTCCACGAAAGAATCTAGCGTTTGATCTATCAGCTTATCGGACACGAATTGCCCCGAGTAACAACCTAAAAGTCGCCGGCATTGCTAACTGCGTAACATTCCAATAGGCAGACGGTACTGTCGGAGTCCTTGCGAAATCCGGTTCAATTGATAAAAGATTGGAGACCAGCAGTGTGGTCTTTAGTTGCGAAAGTTTTCAATTGCCCACAAAACCTACATTCGACTCATCGTTATTATTTAAAACCGTTGTGGGAAAAATGGGAAGAGTTGCGATCGTTGGTGGTACGGGAAGTGAGTGAAATTCTTCAAGTTGGAGAAGGAAAGGATTTTGCTTTTCTTAGCTTGGTCTCGGTTCTAGGACTGACTCTGGCAGACTTGGCACGGGAAGTGATTGATACAGTTATAGCAAAAGGAAATCATTCACTTGTTATATGTAGTCGCAAGGTCAGTAACTAATGTTCATACACATCTTAAGTTGCTAACAAAGGCTTAGGCTCCTGACACTAATGCTCAACACAACGTACAATACGCACAAGTGGATTATGATGATCCATCATCCATTCGTAACGCATTCCGCGGCGTTGACACTGTGTTATCCTTTGTTGCGACGGCGGATAGTGACGAAGGATTCGAAGTGCAAAAGAAGTTGATCGATGCGGCGATTGAGATGGGCGTGAGGAGATTTGCACCCTCACAATGGGCGGCGTAAGTTAGTCTCTTCTGATGATGAAGCAACTAATAACAGAAATGCAGTGCGAACCAGAGCCAGATCGCACATTACCAATTCAAGGATCGAACCCAGAAGTACCTGGAGGAGGTGAATCAATCAAAAGAGGCAAGCGTTTCTCTTCAACATAGATATAGAGGCCCAGCTACTTGAACTTGCAAATTAATGTTTAGCGATGATAGGTCATAGAGTATTGTCTCTTCCAGCCTGGATTTTTCACCAACTACTTTGCCCATCCCTATGCAACTACTCAACACTTTGCCATGTTTGGCATGTTCGTGGACTTTGAGCAACGACGGGCAATCATCATTGACAATAGCGTTGCCAAACTTACACTAACTACTGTTGAAGATCTTTGCGCAACGGTTGCAGATGCCCTGGACTACGAAGGAAAATGGCCGACAATTGGTGGTATGAGTGGATCCACGATTGATGTTGCTGGCTTGATCGCTCTTGGCGAATCGATTCGCGGTAAGTTTATTCCAAAAGACATCGACTGAGATATTTGCTTACAACTCACAGGAGGGCCCTTTCAAGTCGACAGAGTGTCTCTGAAAGATGTGCAAGACAACACCTTCAGCACGACATGGGTCCCAATGATTGAACATCCCGGCGTGCCAGTTGCAATGCGCGAGGCTGTCTCAAGGAATGTTTTACGTGAATACCTACTTGGGATCGAAAGAGGGGCCTGGTCGGTAACTGATGAGTGGAATCATTGCCTAAATCTCTCTTATACAACTGCCGAGCAGTATCTGCGGAAGGTTTGGGCAAATAAACAATAAGACTGTCCGTTTAGAAACGGCTATTTAGTTATGAGATGTTTTGTGGTGGTGCCCTCTGTTACTTTTCAACGTACTTTTCTAATTAAGTATTCGCTATCGGAACGTCGAGATATAAAAATATGTACAACCATTTCCAACTATTCGACAGGCGGCCCTGTTGACCCACCTACTCTACCCATCTGGGAAAATCCGACGCGTCCCGGAGTCTGTTCGATATAGGTGTTAAAGAAGGAAGACTGCCTGTTGTAGACAAGATGGATATTCTTGGCAAACAGGGGGGTTTTCTTAGTCAGCAGTGCAACCCCCTCTCCGAGGGATTTCTGCAAGCCATTCTAGTCTGGCAGCCATTTCGATCCTTCACACAAATCACAAAAAGCTTACAAGCGATTTGTCGCAAATGCCAGGAAAAGACATTCACCAAGAGAGTATCAAGCCAGCGCAGTCCAAATGGCTGAACCCACTCCATCGGAAGACGGCACGTTCAAGAATGTCAGCGTTACAAGCAGCCAAGAGTCTTTGCAACAGTTTCAAGATGACTTCTCGGGGTCCCACACCAGTCGCCGCGAAATCATCAAGAGGCTTCACTATACTATCAACTTGCCACCCGTTAGCGAGAAGCGTATGAAGAAGCTCCAAAGTACTCGCGAAGCTGCCGCCAACGACGCTGCCTTTACCCAAGCCATCATGGATCTTTTCCAACTTCTGAGTGATTGGAAAACCGGCGACATCACTCTCGTCGTCAGGGTCGCTTCTCCTTCGGATACAGACGAGGATCTATTTGACTCCTTGGATAGCAGTCACTCTGGCAGCCCAATTTGGGATGTGCGTAACGACTTCCAGTATATCAGCTTCGACCAGACATTGAATATCACGTCGGGCCTCGCACAAGTTCGGGCCATCTCCAGCGTGGATCTTCGAGAAGACTTCAGCAACGTCAAAAGACGACTTCATCCCGCCTGCATCACTACTATATCCCAGGCACTCCCCGACGTCAAGTCTCTAACGTGGGACTGCATCATGCCCTCACGCCGCCTTAAGTCCTCAAGACGAGAAATCCGTCTCGCTCTCGCAGAGACCTTGAAGCAAAGCGCTTTCACCAACCTCAAAGGCCTTGACATTTATCTCGAAGATCCAGACCCGCTGAACGAAAGCTCCGATCCTGGGGCATTTTGTCAGAGTCCCGAGGAAGACGTTCTTTCATTGGCTATAAGCAGAATCTTACAGCTACCTGCAATTGTCAAAGTGCAGCTCACGGGTCTCTGGACTATCGCCCCTGCAGCTTTTGAGACGGCAACAGAGTTTGGGTCCTTATTAGAGTCGGTAAACATTGAGGCCAGCGGAACAACCCCCGACGGGAAATGGCTTAGCATTGGGGAAGAAGAGGACGATGTGGATCAGAATGAGCCAGACTCAGACTCGGACGCTTCTGAGGCTGTTTTTGACTCGTCGGACTCGGATACGTCCGACTTTGTTCCGGAGCATGAATGGGAACGGGAAGCAGGGAACTTTCCGGCGAATTCGTGGAGGACTTCTATCGATACCGAGGTTTTTTTGCCTCATATACTACCTCTCGTCAAAACCACACTTAGGATGTCACCACTCCGGACTCTGAGATACGAGATTCATATGCAGCCCTCGCCATTCTTCGTCGAGTATTATGCACCGGGTGTCGAGAATGTCTCTGCGAAAAGGGGGTCAAATCGGCGCGGACATTTCGAACGGGAAAATGCCAGCCGGTCAAGATGGTATCTCACGGTCGTGCAAGGCTTTGACGCGTCCTGGACCGTGCCTCCTGATATGATCAGTGCAATCGAGGAGACTGGCGGATGCTATTTCTGGGATGGACCTAATTTTCCTCACGAGTCGCATGCAAATGAATAAAGGTCTTGACTCATTGTCTCGTCCCGACGCTCCTCCAAGGGGAATGTCCATGATATGGTCTGGTCATAGTTCGGAGAGGATAGTTATTTTGTCATTTGAGGTTTGTATCACACATATTGGTGTGAGTATCAAAGCTTGGATCTCTATTCTTTTCGAACAGGCAGTATTGAATTAACTTGATTACAAAGGTAGACTTCAGGACGCATATACAGTGTACGAGCATCGTCTGAGTTGCATAACCTAAACTATTCTTGAAGCTGTCTACGGCATTGGGTTCACCCATTTACCCTTGATTTCATCATCGTAGACCTTGCGCAGCGCTTGGATGGTGGCTCTCCTCTTCTTCCTATCATCGTCATCCTTTGATGCGTCGGTGCCCTGGAGGACCTTCTCCGCCACCGGGATGTACGTGTCTAGCAACTTGACCAGCTTACCTCCTGCGATCTCAGCGCTGGTCTTGACAAAGCTCAGCCAACTCTGCTGGAGGTTGCGCTTCGTCCAGGAACCCTCGCTAACCAAGTGATCCTCCATGACGTTCAGAGCTATACCCACACGAGTGGCCTGTTCGCGGTACAACGCCGAGAGCTCAGGTTCGAGAAGATACTTGAAGGTGACTACAGTGATCTTCAGCGTCCGGAGTGCTTGATCTAGGGGTGTGCCCTCCATCCACTGGGCCGCCTTCTCCAAGCTGGCCTCTTCTTGGAGTCTAGCGCCGGAGCCAAAGGACTTTTGCTTCTGCCAGTTGACCGGCTCGATGACGGAGATAAATTCCTCAGGGTTAAAACTGGCTGCTGGGTAGGACTGTTGGACAACCCAAGTGATCGGGTTGACCTTGGCTCCGTTGGCATCGAGAGGGTTCGGGGTATAGCCCATCCAATCGCCCGCTTTCATTGCTCGGCAGAGGTCCCTCACCCCACGCCCATCTGCGCCTTCGATACTCAGCCAGCGTTGAAAAGTCTGGGCTTCCAACACGTGCTCGATAACGTATTGCTCATTATCGCCCTTCTTGTTTTTAAGGATCTGCTCTCCTCTTTTCTGGATGCTGCTAGCCACTGTGAAATGCGATATTAGTTGACGTCGCTGGAAAATCGAAAGAAGGGATAGTATAAGCGTCGAGAACAACTGATACTTACTATTCGAACAATCGGACCAGTCGTTGCTATCGTAAATGAACATTTCTCCGCGGTCCAACGAGGACCAGTCCAGCCAATTAACATTATAGAGTGCAGTACCAGCGCAAACGGCAAGAGTTTTGCCGGCACGCTTCTCCAAGTCGCGGTCAAGGAGGCCCGACTGGTACGCGGGGTTCGTGCTCGAGTTGCTGGTAAAGTCATCGTCGGCAGTAACTGAGCGCTTAGTAACGGCGCCCCACGAACCGTCATCCTCACCCTCGTAGAAGCCATCCACGGCCGTGATCTCATTGCATGCCTTTTGCTTTTCGGCGCCGCCCTTGGGAGGGCATGTCTTCTCCTTGCTGTTGGGCTTCAAGTCTGATTCGTAGGGTATGATTCGCTTTTGCAGGCTGGGGGGCGAGATAACGAATGGCTCAATGTCGGTGATTTCGGTTGAGTTGAAGCCAGAGCCGATCAGGCGTCGCTCTGTTGCCCCTGATGCACACTGCCATTCCTTGCCATTTCCGGGAATAAGATTTTTCTCAATCTGAGTGACCTGTGTCAGCATGATGGAACTTGCTCACGTGGACAGCCATCTCAGGGCCTAGTTACCTGCTTGAATGTGTGCGTCTGAGGAGTCCACTTGAATATCTCGGGAATTTTTGCCTGGGCGATAAGAGACATGCCGGCATCCACACCATAGCCGAAGCCGCAGTCGAGGTCGGAATCGACCCTCATGCGGACCCAGGTGTCAGCCACGAGCTCAACATCGGTGGTGGCGATGCTCCAGACATCGTCGAACTCAAGACCAAAGACCATCGTGGGCATCAAATGAAACTCAACATCTCCGTTGCCTTTCATCTCGGCATCAAAGGTGGGTTCGGCAAGATCTCTCCTATCAATTCCACGCTTAGCCTCGGAAAGCTCCTTCGGATCGAACTTCTCCGTGTGTTGAGGGTAGGTCTGCTGGATATCCCAGTCAACAATGTTGACTCTGGCTTCGACACGTCCCTCGACCGTGATGTCGGCCTTTATCTCTCCTCGAAGATCGAGGCGGGGGCCAACTAGATATTCTGTCAGCGAGCTACTTCAATTTGCATTGTCTCTCAGACATTGGAAGATACTTACGCGAGCCAAATCCAGGAATAACAAAACTGGCGCCTTGGAAATAGATGGGAGCAATGTTAAACGCTTCGGAGTCCCAGTGTAGTGACATCCTAGCGTCGAGGGTGAAGACGGCATTCACGCTTCCCTGCAAAAAGGCCTTTAGCACATATTCAAAGTCTCATGAAACCCACAAAAAACGACGAAATATGCATAAAAACACATGAGAAAAGCAGCGAAAATGGAAACATACCTTGTTGGCGAAATGCAAATAAGACTTGCTGAGATCCAGGCCAGTCTCCGAGTTGAGCGTCGTGATGAGGGCAAACCCGAAAGACGTTGCCATCTTGATGCCGGCAGTCGCGACAGCGTCGATCTTGCCCTTGAACTCACCGCAGTCCCACTCTTCTCGCAACAAGACTGCGGAGAGGTCTTCCTCGTAGAGATGGCGCTTCTCCGTCTTGACGATCTCGACTTCAACGAGACTCTCCAGCCACTCGAGGACGTCGTCACCGAACCATCGCTTATGCAGATCCTTCTTCGACAGACCGCCAAAGTGGTTATCGTCGCGCCACTCCTCTTCGAGCCATCTCTTGTGGTTGCCACCGAATTCTTCGAGGGACCTCTTGCGCTTCTTCGATACCGGGCGGGTGACGATATGGTCCCAGTAGCCCTCCTGGTTCCTGTGTGGACGAAGGAGGTTAGGATGAATTACTAAATGTGAAGAATAGGGGTACTCACGAATAATCGATACGGAGCTGTGTGTCACCGTACTCTCTAGGAACAAGCTTGAAGTTGTAGCCAAACTTGAGGTCATAGATCACGGGCGGGCTTGCCGTTCGTCGAGTGAGGTGTCCCGGCAACGTCTGGTTATGGGAAACCTCCAGGCTCTCAACGACGGCATACTTGCCCGGTCCGCAGCCCTGATCTTGCGGCATCTCGATGATGGTTCCTGGTGCACCATTTCCGAGGAAAAGCTCTTTGCAGTTGCTATCCTCAGAATCGTTCATGCAAACCATCTGAACAGTCTGCACGCCAAGAGAGTGAGCATCGTTGCAGTTGAAGAGCTCCCAGTGGGAGCCGTCGCGCTTGTCGAGGGTGACTTGGATTTCTGTAGGACTGGCCATGACGTAGAATTGAATGGCAGATTTGTTCGGATCGTCGTTGCTGCCGCCGGTTTGCGAGCCGCCCCAGGTGTCGTCTGTCTTTGTGTTGCCCTTGGTCTTGACATCGTTACCGGTAGGGGGGTCGGGGAACAGGTCTTTCAGGGCGGCCGGGAGGAAAAGGTTAGAGCCACTAGGCGGATCGCAGCAGAAGATACGCGCGCGATTCGGGTCGGGATGCGGGAAGCACATCTCACCACCACCGGCTCCGGCCCAGGTGAGCATGACCTCCGTATTAAGGTCGCAGTGAGCGTCGAAACAACTTCCGGGCTTGCCCTTCCATTCGCAGTTCTTCCACTTCTTGAACTCTTCGTCGTCGCAGCACCAGAGACTGATCTTCTTCCACGTGTATTCGTCTAAGGCATCTTCGAGCGCCGTACCCGTGAGACTCTGGAGATGTTTGAGATCGACGTCCGGAGACTTTTCGCCAATGTTGCCGTTCCCAAACGCGCCAGAGAAGGTAAGTGCCTTTTGTCCGCTTGGGCACTTTTTTCCATTGTCGTGGAACCTGCACTTGTCGCCGTCGCTGTTCTCGGCCTTGGTTTTGCAGCAGTACATCTTGTTGCCGTCTTCACAGTACTTGCCGTCGCCCCATTTGTTCATTTGGAGGCCGACCTCGCCAAATTCGCAACGGCCATTGCAGGTTGGTGCGTCGCCTTGGCTTCTCCTATATGGCTATCAGCGACATGGTTTGGGACAATAGACAAAGGTGTAGGTCTTACCATTGACAGTCCTTCGGATCCGGTGCAGAGTTGACGGGACAGCAGAGCGTGCTGTCTTCTTCGGAGGAGTGTCGCGTGAAGAACGTAGCATCTCCACACGGTTGAGTTGTGACGGCCTTGAAGCCAGCTTTGTCGCACTTGCCTCCACAACCAGTGACGTAGCAATTCTGGGCTCCTAGCTGTTCCCATGTGGCCGCTCCATCTTCAGAAAGGGTTTGTCGCAAAGCCAACGCCTTGGTGGTCGGGCCAACGACAGCACCGAGGGCGTCTAGGTTGTCCGTGTCTTGGTCAATCTAGAAAGCAGTCAATACCCAAGCATGATTTCGATGTGCATCCGTGTTCTTCGGGAAGCCAGATGGCATGCATATGCAATGAATGACGGGTGTGCCGACTTACCGACCAGATCAGCAGCCCGCCAAGGCCTTGCTCGTTTGCAAAATCGATCTTGGCCTCGATGGTTTCAGGGTCATCCTAGATGAAGTCAGCATATGCCTTCCTTCACGAAGGCTGACATCAACTTGATGCGATAAAATGACCCCACATACGTAGCTAACCCATTGGTTCTGGTTCCAAACAATGTACTTGATTTGGTGCTCCTTGTCGTAGTACGGCTTGAGATCGTGTTTCTTGATGATATCCTCGATCTCACGGTACGCCAACGTTCCAGAATTTGCAGTGCACTGATTTCAAACTGTCAGTAAATGAAGGATGAACTCATCCATGCTCAAGTGTAAAAACACCAACTTACCGGACCAGGAGCTGCACCTCCGCGAAATTGGCATCCAGGCTTGTTGCAAGCCGGGTCCGTCAGCTCGAAAGAGCGACCGTAGAAACCAATGCCAAGGTTGAGCTTCTCGGGAGGAATGTCATTGCGCCAGTACAGGTCAAGTGCGAGCTTA